CAGATAAACACAAAACGTAATAGCAAAACAGAGCCTTCAGCCCCTAAACCTCCCACGCTATGTCCTTGGAGGTAGCATGTCACATGTACCTGAAAATGGTTTCCCAAGTAGGGTGAGCCAAAGCCCAATAGAGATATGCTAAAACAACATATGAGATTTAACTAAGATATAAGCATCAGATAAATCTGTAATATCCTTAACCAAGACGTATTCTGTCCAAGGCCATTCAATATAGATAACCAATACCTCAATTCATTTCCATTCATCCATTTTGGGTAAATCTATTAACCAAATTCATTATTATCAAAATAACCAAAATGAGACTACAACTCAAAGGTTCACAATTCAATACATTCATCAATCTAACACTTCTATTTCTTGCCATTTTACGGAATCACATCCAAGGGAACCGGCACCCACAAATATATATAAGATTTCGGGACTTTCACCCTGGACACTCTGGCCAACTTAATTCTCAATGGAGTCCATCCTATAGCGACCCCGGTCTTTTCCCACTTGATTATTGTATCCGGACTTAGGTTCCGTAGATTCTATCTCCTCCCACACAATGATACATATACAATGTATTTAAACACGTTGTCATATACAATGACTAATCAAATCACATATTCAATGGTTTAATCAAACCGTCATATTCAATGACATAATTTAATTGATTAGTTTCAATCTTCCTAATCCCTATGCAGTTTCTACAACAATCATGGCTATCCTCCATCGATAGCCCAAAACAGATATTTCTAAATAGATAAATAAATCTATCAACAGATAATTTATCGAATTCCCATAAGTGAGTGATTTATCAAATCCAACTACACCATTCATTTACACATCCTCCCAATTTCATATTTTCCATACCAATTTCATTATTAATACAAATGAGTTCTTCGCTCGATCGAGCTTTCTTTCGCTCGAGCGAGCTTTTGAGTTGTTGGCTCGAGCAAGGCTTCCTTGGCTCGAGCGTAGTTTCTCTAAGTCTGGTCGCTCAAGCGACCAAGTCTTCGCTCGAGCGAGCCTGTCCAGTTTATATACGCAGCAGCGGGGTTTGATCAGTCTTTTCTTATTCTTTTTGGTTCTAAACCCTAGGTCCGACTTCTCTCCCTCAAAACTCATCTTCTCTTTAGGTGTTCATCTACTTCTAGAGTGAATCCATCTTAAGTTCTTTGTAAGAAAGATAGAGGGCGGCTTGGGCTTCATTCTAATCTGAACATTTGGTGATTTGGAGCACATTGGAATTTGGGCATTCATCTCTGTCTTCATCATTTGGGTTGTTTTCTTTGAGGTAGGGATTTCCTACTCCATTATATAGGTTTTGTTCTAAGTTTTGGTATTTTAACATGTTGGGGATACTTTGGTAAATTTTGGGAAAAACCCTAGTTGTATTATTGAATTAATTTGTATAAGTAATTCATGGAATTGGGAAAAGAGGGTTAAATTCATGGAATTGGGGAATTCATTGATTAAATGGCGTAATTGGGTAATTGGAAAGCTGAAGTGAAGGTGGCCAAGCTAGAAGAAGCCAGAAAGCAAATGGCCGAGCTACAAGCTGAGAATGGCCGACTAGCCGGACTGGTTAGTTCGGCCGAAGTAGAAAAGCAGAAGGCCGCCATCGCTCTAAAAGATAAGTATCTGCATGAGTTGGTGAAACTTGAAAAGAAGAAAGATGCCGAAATAACTGAACTCAAGAAGAAAGCCAGTGATGCCAATGCCCAAGGTTTCAAAGAGGCGGAGGGCCTATACATTGCGCAATGCGAGGGGGCAAAGGATTTGTTCTTCAAGTGCGGCTGGAGAAGTGCCGTGGAGCAGCTCGGCTGTGGACCCGAAACCGAGGTTAACATAGTTGCCTTTGCCATTGCATCATCTTCTATCCATTTACACTAAAATGTGTATCAATCTGGAAGTATGAAGTGTTTTGATTTGAGCTTGAGTCTCATTTGTTTGTTGATATTGGAAGGATGTGAATATGGTATATGTAATTCACTGTTGTAAGTTTGGCCAGGTTCTGAGCCATGTTGATAAAATTGGAAAGTAAATTGTATTTTAGACAATAGTGTCATGAGACTGTAAAATGAAGTAATTGATTATCTTGGTTAACCATCTGTCAAATACTATTGCTTTATTCATTTCTTATATGTGGTTTAGTATATTTCTACTGGGCTGTGGCTCACCCTTTATGGGAACATCATTTTCAGGTTCAGGTGATAAACTACCTCCAAGGAATTAGCTTGGGAGGGTTTGGCTTCTGGATTTTGAAGAAGACTATCTTTAGTTAATTGTCTTTATTTATTAGTACATGTAAACATTCAAGCCTAGGGCTTTTCTTGTATTGAGTTAGAACTCATATTTTTGTATCCAAGTGTTGGCTTGGAAAGATGTAAGCCTGTAGGGCATTTTATTCGATGTTACATGTAATGCTTTATTTAGTAATACTCTGATGAATGAATTAATAAATTGTTTTCTTAAAATAATGCATGATAATGATATATAATGGGTTAATTTCGAGGGCGTTACACATCCCCTATCTCCTCCCACACAATGATACATGTACAATGTACTTAAACACGTTGTCATATACAATGACTAATCAAATCACATATTCAATTGTTTAATCAAACCGTCATATTCAATGACATAATTTAATTAATTAGTTTCAATCTTCCTAATCCCTACGCAGTGTCTACAACAATCATGTTTATCCTCCACCGATAGCCCAAAACAGATATTTCTAAATAGATAAATAAATCTATCAACAAATAATTTTTCGAATTCCCATGAGTGAGTGATTTATCAAATCCAACTACACCATTCATTTACACATCCTCCCAATTTCATATTTTCCATACCAATTTCATTATTAATACAAAATAATTATTTAACACAAATTAGGGTAATTCTCTCCCTATTCCAAAACATCAACCCATAGGTCTAAATCTCACAATTTCAACAATAAAGAACCTCATACACAAACCCCCAAAGTTATTTTGTAAATCAACATGAAAACCCCTCTTTCGTTTAGAGCCCAAACCATAACTTTACCCAAATCACTCCCAAATCCCTTTATTCATACAAAATGACAACTACCTAGGCTAAAACTCATATTAAGGAGTAGAATATCCCTACCTCAAGTATAGAGTTCAAAGGAGAAGAAGGAAGAAACTTTGAAGATGACCAAACTCCACCTTTTTGGGATCAAATGAAAGCCCACGCAAAACTCTAACTCTTTAACAAAGGGAGCATGGTAGAAAGACCCTAGATCATGGAAGATTTGTAGAGAGAGAGAGTTTTAGAGAGAGGAGGTGCTAGATTAGGGTTTGGAGATGGGATGAAATTAAAAGTGATGTAAAAACTCTCTGCTGCAAACTGATATATGCGAGGCTCGCTTGAGCAAAGGAGTTGTCGCTCGAGCGACCAAACACAACTAGTGACCTCGCTCGAGCGGAAGAAACGTCACTCGAGCACAAAATGCAAAGCTTCAGGTCTTCCATAGACGCACACGTATGCTCGAGCACGAGAAATCTCGCTCGAGCGGAGAAACAATTTCGCAAGGCTCGCTTGAGCGCAAAAGTCTCGCTCAAGCGAATCACTCCACCTTCCTAGAAAAGCTGCGTTTGGGAAAGAAACCTGAGGACTCTCAATTCTCGATCGAGTGCAAGAAATCTCGCTCGAGCGAAGAAGCAAGTTACCCAAGGCTCGCTCGAGCGCAAGAAGTCTTGCTTGAGCGAAGAGACTAAAATCTGGGCAGGAACACTCTAGACCAACTAGCAACCAACCTGTTCCAAACATGCCCAACAAGTTCCAAAACTCAAATAAAAAGAGTTAAAGGAAGGAAACAAGACATAGAGAACAACATACAAACACGGAACCCGAGTCCTTAACACAATAAAGGTCGGGGTAAAACCGGGATCGCTATACTACATATAAATTATTCATAAAGATAATAAAAAATAAATCAAATAGATAATTTTAACCATATATATATATATTTTTGAAAAATCTCCAAATTATATTTATGAAAAATTACACATCAGTGAAATTTTTATAAAAAAATTACAAATTAGTAAAAAAATTTATGAATTTAATTATTAATATTTGTAAACTTTATCAATGATTTGAATGTTTTTTTTTTTTTGAAAAAATACACTAAATTATAATTCTTCCTTATATTTATCATTTAATATTTTTGTAAATAAATATGTTGACACTTCTAATTTCAGTTATTATATCAGTATGAGTCTTGTAATTGATATTATAACAGATAAGTGATTCCAAATTTATCAACCTAGAATTTTTGAGATTAACGATTGTGTAGTGGAGATTAAATTTATGTAATATAAGGTTTATATTTGAAATAAATTGTAACCATAAAGTAATAATTCTAAATAATTTATGAGTTGATAAGGTGGGTTCGTAGTATTACTCCATGATAATAGCGGTTGTTGAATGAATGTTAGTCTTGTCATTGATGATTTACATATAAGGGTTTAGAATAGAATATTAAAAAATGAAATTATCCAAATAAGTCTTACAGTTGGCTCATAGGGTCAAACTCGCCTGAACTGCGTAGTTCGCTTTCAAAACACTAGAGATAGTCAGATTACTATTTTCATAATTTGGAATTTGGTTGAACTTGGAGGCTCCTAGTTGTTTTATTTATTAATAATTAGTAGTTATATCAAATGGTGGGATGCAATTTCTCAAACCTAATGAAAAAAATTGTTATTTTAACAAATGTCAGGAGGTATGTTTGTAATTTATCTTATTAAAGTGTTGTAGTGTGCAAGGCTTGAAACTTGCATACCATATTCAAGTTAATTCTCAGCCCTTAGATTTGATCAAATTAATCTAAACCCTTCAATATTTTATACAGTTTATACCATTTACCTGCTAAACCTGTTGAAACTTTCCTAGCCATTCTCTCTACTTTCATCAGTCACCCCTATGTGTGTGTGTGTGCGTGTGTGTGTGGTTTGGCTAAACAGGACTCCCCTCTCTCTCTTCTCTAGCCGTCTTCCACAAATGGAGATCGAAGTCGCAGGCTCTGCAAGGATTGAAGAGGTATGGCTCTAAAATCCCTAAAATTTTCTCCCCCTTGCTCCGAATCTATGGTTTCTCTCTCTTTCTCTCTCTCTCTCTCTGATTTGTCTGTCAATTCTCTTGCTTGTTATCATCTCTTACTCTTATCTCTTGCTTTCGAAGGCTTCTTGAAGATCTCTGTCTTCTCAAGTAGCTTATTGGTTCAAAAGAGTTCTCATTGAAGAGGTATGGCTTGAAATCCCTAAAGCCCCATTTCTCGATAAATAGGCAATTCCATGAATCAAATTGTATTGCACAACTTGATTATAAGATATATTGGGAAAAATTTGTTGGTAGAATTTGATACATCATATCTAATGATGGATTCTTTGCCTAGTTGGTTACTGTCTTACTTGTTCTTTTTTTAATTTTTGTTTTCTATATTTTATCTCGTCTCTTGCCTATTTACAGTTTGAATGTAATATTTGTTTCATGGCCTTGGGTTTCAATTGAAAAATAAGGGTTGAAAAATTTAGGTTTGGGGTTGGGATTATTTCTGTATCCATTGTAGTTAACTTATTATATTTTTAATTGATTAAATTGTCTGTGTAACATGATTTTGATTTTCATTCAGTTGGTAAATTGGAGAAATTATTCAATGCTCGTGGAGCAATGGTGAATAGGCAATTCAATTTAGATTTTTATGAATTTTCATTAGTCCATATGAAAGGTAAAATTTAATTCATAAATTAAACTGTATCTAGCACAACTAGATAGTTTCTAGCATTGATTGTGCCCTATGATGAGGTTGAGGTTGTTCACTTAGTAAGATGACACTGCCTTCATGAAATTCAATTTTATTTAATTTTTTGATAAGTACATCTATTAGGATAGATAAACAAGTGCTATAGTGGCTGTGTTTCCTTGGTGGAGGCCCGACCTGCATGCTCTTTGCTTTCCAAACTAAACCTTGGGGAATTGAGCTGGATAGCATCCTGAGTTTAGTGTTGCATGATATACTGTCCTCTGTCTCTATTCTCTTCTTGCTTCATTTTTTTCTTTTTCTTTTTCTTTCTTTTTTTTTTTAATTTTTTATAAAATGTTTTGATAGTATTTTCTTTTCCTTTGTCATGTTTGTGTTAGGTAAGGTAGGGAGATTCAAACTTTAGTCTGTTTATTAAGGTAATGCGACCTACGTAGTTGGGGTATCATTTTTTGCTTATTATTAGATTTTTTTTTTTAGTGTTTGTCTTTTTACATTGGAAACTTAGTCCAAGTGTTTGTTAACTAGATTATTATTCAACAAATCCATTCATGTGTGCATGTGGTGCAATTGATGAATGTATTGTACAACCTAGATGTCTTAGGATATTTTCAATTCCCACATTAAGTATATATGTCAATTGATGAATGTGCTATAACCTTTAAGATTTTTGTTTGTTAGTTTTTTCCCTAATCAAAGATATTAGAAGTTTATTTTTCTTGTTTTTCTTCACAAGGAATTCTGATAGAAGCTTGATGGATTAGTTACATGTGGTTTAAGATTGCTGAGAATACTCTTGATTCTATTTTTCAGGAACCATGTTAACCTTGTCGTGGCGATATATTCCCACTCTTTTTAGTTGCGTGTGTCCTTTAATTATTAAAAAGAAAAATCATTCTTGTTCCAATTTTAATTATGAATTTGTTTTTTTATAAATAATTTCTAGTAGTCCCCAGATATATTGAGGGCTATGAGATTTTGATTCTTTTTCTATTATGTGGTTGTTGAATAATATGAACAAGTATGGAAACAGTGAAACAAATTTGGAGATTGAATTGATTTGTAGTTGTATCCTATACATTATCTTACTAAAACTAAAAAGTTAGGTCATAGATGTTTCAAAATTTACTTACAAAGCACTTTTTTTTTTCTTCTTTTTTTGTCCTTTTTTTTTTTTTTGAACAGTAACAAAACAATATTATTAAACTAAAAGATGAAAACAAGGGGTGGACAAAATGCCCTTGTACAAAGTCGAGAGATCTATACAAAAACCTAAGAAGCATCAACTAAAACATAAAATAAACCACCTATGTCTAACAAACAACAGCCCAATCCCTAGTAATCGAAAAAAGGGTATGTCCTTGAAAGAGGGAGACACATAGGCCCAAACTGATGTGAGATGCCTCACCTTGTCCAACAAAGCATCAACTTCAGATTCCTTTTCATTAAAAATTCTATCCATTCTTTCCAACCAAATGGTCCAAAAGCTAGCAAAGATAATGCAAGACCACAATGTTTTGGCCTTCTTATTGCTTCCAAATCTGCCATAGGAAACCAGCAGGAAAGCACATTTTCTTTATTTATTTATGTTAATTTCAAATTGAGGTTGCATATACTCTGGAAAGGATGGGTTGATATAGACTATAGGAAATCCAATAGAAATTTGCATTTGGACTTTTAGAAAAGGTAATAGGCAATGATTTAATGAATGGTATGGGCACATTGAGCTAAACTGTCGAAAGAGTTTGTGTAGTTGGCCCCCAAGTAGTTACACTTTTGGTTGGTGCAATGCTTGTCTAGTTGCCTGTGTGTAGAAATCTATAGGACATCTGTGAGTGCATTTTGTTGTATTACGATACTGCTATTTTCATTTGATTATTTGAACTTGTCTTTTTAAACTATTAGCCTTGTTCTACATTTTATAGTGTTTATCATGCTGCTTGATTTTTATATCAAAGTATAGGCATAGTTTACGAGCGTACCTACTACTTATGGGAAGAAGATAAACAAGAGTATTTTGGTTGGTCTCTATTATTAGTTGGGTTTTTTTTCATATGAAGAGCTTCTTTCCTTTATGACTATTGCCTACCTTTTCAATTTGTTTGTTGAATTGTGTAAATTAAACTGCTATTAGAACTAAGCTATGCAATTTTTTTAAATGGCAACGATTATGTTTGAACTTTTGTTTTCTTTGTAGATCCCTTTCTAGAGACCTGCTAAATACAAGAGATCTAGATTGTCAGGGAACCGCAGGACGGTGAATCATGCCTCCAGTGGTGTATTATAATCTGGGGTCGCTGTAAATTTGATAGGTTTTTTTTTTTTTAAATTCTTTTTAATTTTTTTTATTTTAATGTTGGTGCAGATCAAAATGATAGTGTTTCTGAGGGAAAGAAATCTAGTTATGAATGTTGTTACCGGTTTAGCAAAATTGTTAAAATGTTGCAAAATGATACTGCAAAACTTGGGTTCAGTCTAAGTTATCATTTTGTAATTATGCAATGCACATGATTGAGTGAGTTCATTTGATCTAAAGCATTATGCACAATGTTCTCCAAATAATCTCTCTTTATTAGATTTGGTTGGTCCATTAATTTGAAGGATGATCCACAGGAGGAAATCCTTCCCAAAGAAAATTTTTTGCAGGAGCAGGAAATAAGAAAATTTTAAATATAAGAGAACTTCAAATGCAATGACAGAACCTCACCATTAGAGGAGTGATCTTGTGAACCAAAGCCAATTTTTTTGGCTTTGGCAAGGCATTTGACAGAACCATTGGAGTTGCTTTGATTGAGGTTAAGCAAGTTTGGCCAGATGGCCAATCCAAAAGTAATACCCCTTAGGTATCAAAAGCAAAATGCATTAAGTTTTGAATGAAAAAAAAAAAATTTGAAAAGGAAAAAAAATCTAGGGCTAATTTATATAAAAAAAAAAATTAGCTAATAATGGTACTTCCCAATATAAATGTCAAAATCATTCCAAAGAAAAAATTTTGTAGCAGCAAGAAATAAGAGAACTTTAAATACAATGACAGAACCTAAAAGTATCTTACTCACCAACAAAACCGTGATCCTCACCATTAGAGTGATTTTGTGAACTGAAGCTAATTTTTTGGCTTTGGCAAGGCATTTGGCAGAACCATTGGAGTTGCTCTGATTGAGGTTATGCATGTTTGGCCAAATGGCCAATCCAAAAGAAATACCCCTTAGGTATCAAGAGCAAAATGCATTAAGTTCTGAACAAAAGAAAAGAAGAAGAAGAAGAAGAAGAAGAAGAAAAGATATAGGGCTAATTTATATATATATATATATATATAACTAGCGAATAATGACACTTCCCAATATAAAGACTGTTTGGTGCAATTTATTATTCTTTATTTTCAAATCTATGTTTCAACAGTTTAGTGCAATTTTACTTGGAACTTACTAGAGAATAATAAATCCATTAAGTTGTAAATAAATAAATTATCTTCAAAGTGGAGAGAAGTATTTTTAACTTTTATTTATTATCATTCATTCAACTTACAAAAAGATGCAAAAATCTAAGCCAAACCAAGCTAGTCACCAATTATTATTAACTCTATTGAATTCAAATACTCCCTCAAACTGTTCCTAAGCCACAAACCCACTCAATTTAACATCTAAAATTCAATATTGTTTGTTCACTACTAAGAATACAAGTTTTAAGCTCAACATTTGTGGACAATCTACTAACTAATGTTTGTTGTCCACATGATGCAGTATATATCAAGACACCACTTGCTATCCAGTCATACCAACACATCACTTGCCATCTAATCATATCAAGACACCACTTGTAGCAAAAATTGATGAACTGCAGCAATAGGAAATGAAATATTATAAAATGATTTATAGAAATCTAGCAATCGAAACAAAGGAAAGAAAATAATCAAAGTGGTTCATTCATATTAGTAGAGATTAGAGAAACAGGGGTGGAACAAAATGGTTTATGACTTGAATGTGTGTTCTCATGCTTGTAGTCTAATTTTGTATTGTGAAATTAGTTGAGTATTGCAATGGTAAGCCAAGTGTAAAACTTGTTAAAGTTCTAAAAAAAATTATTACCTGAACTAGCTGATGTCAAAAATCTATATCGAACAAGACTTCCTTTTTGCTGAACTTATTCCGTTTCTAATTTTGTATTTCTATCTTTCGGAACAAAAAAATTCAACAATAATCTCACCTAGTTATCTTGACACTATGAAGCATGGGTATGTCTATAAACATGTCATCTCCGTACCAGGTAGTTACCAAATTATGAAATTTTTTTCCCACTCTATTTCTCCGCTCGAGCGTCAGTCCGCTTAAGCGGCCATTCTTGTGCTCGAGCGGAGATCGCAGATTTGTTTTCTATAAATATGTGGTTCCATCAGAGTTTAGGGTTACAGCTTCCAGATCTTCTTCTTGGGTATTTGGGTTTTTATCTGGAGCTTCTTTGCTTGTTTCCTTTGATATCTGTGAGAGTTTAACAGTGAATTGAGTGGATTATATCAAAGGATTTGTTTAGTTTGATTTATTCACAAAAGAGAGAATTGTTCTTCTATGGGTTCCGTAGAACTTGAGCCTGAAGCTTTGGTGGATTCCATAGTGGTTCATTGTCGTGGATTCAACATCGGCGTTGTGGATTCAACGTGGGGCAAGACAATTCCGAGGTGAAGACGGGCCTAGAAGAGGCACATAGGGGTCAGTTCGATTGGGGGCGTGGATTCACCAGGTAATTGAGAGTACACTTGTATAATTCCTTTATGTCTTCTTAGTGGATTGTTTTATAGCTTTTGCCCGTGGTTTTTTTTCATAATTAGAGGCACTCCAATTGTGGTTTTTCCACGTTAAAATTGTTGTGTCAATTTGTCTTGATTGTTTGGTTGGGATTGTTATTTACTACTTAAATTGATACATAATCGCAAATCAGTATCTCGGGGATTTAGATTTTTCACAATGTCAAATGGTAATCTATACCACACCAACTGTAATATGTTCTATGCCAAAAGTAATTTGTAATATGTTCACAATAGTTATCTATACAAACAATAGTAATCCACAAAAAACAAAGGACAGCATAATAATGGATTATAAAAAAACAATATCATTCGCATACAAATAAGGAATATTCACATTTTCACACAAAAAATCATCTGTAAAAATAAAATTAACCATTAGTATTGATTGAATAACATTATCCTTTCAAATTATAAAAGAAAATTATATAAAACTTAAATGTATATAATCTTTTCAAAATTGTATAATTATAGTCGTAATCATATGTTAAATGTCCGGACAAGTTTCTCCCAAGTATTCCCCACCCAAAATGCAATTTTTCAGTTAAGTTTAAGGCATTTTCAGCTTTAGCTCCCAACCTATGTGTCCTACTCACAGGCCGTATGTCCCCATATGTTCTATTAGGCATGAGGAAGCTACCTGTACAATTCCTAGAGTGGTTCGAGATTGTTTTGCATTTTTGCCCCCCCAATGTACTTTTTTGTAACACTCCAAAATAAATGCAATAAACCATCCATGATGATAAAGAAATAACGATATAAATCAGAGTATAATATCCTTCCATTACATAAGCCTCAGTTGTATAAAAGGGTGACACATGCGAATATACATTCATAAGTCCTAACCCTGAATCTATAGCATGTGTCAACAACAAAAGTATGAAATAGAAGTTAAACAGATAATTGAAATGCCCTGAAGGCTACAACTTCCCAAGAATGTACTTGGTTACACCAAAATGGATTTAAATCCAATACAGATAAAGCCTAGGCTTGTACAAAATAATATCAACAAGTAAACAAAATAAAGCTCTTGCTCCAATTCTCGTAAGCTACTGCCTTGGAGGAGGCATTTCACCAACACCTGAAAATGATTTTCCCATGTAGGGTGAGCTAAAACTTAGTAGAAATAATCCAACACAATATATGAAGCTTAATAAAGATATAAGGGTGAAACGCATATGCAATACTTATGACTAAAATGTCTTACATTTCTTTCCCAAAAACCATGCCATGCTCAGTTTATATCACAATTATCAAATCATAACCTTTGCAATAGAAAACAAGGGGTAATTCTCAAGCGGGTACAACCTTTCACGGATATTTTGTCTGCAAGAAATCGTCAAACACCCATGTAAACGTAGCCTATACAAGCACTACTATTGCCATTTTATAGATATTTCATCCATGGGAACTGGCAACCATGGATAAGCGTGCTTTTCGGGACTTTTACCCTGGACACACAGGCTAATTTGATTTGGTGATACACACATCTTTCCCACATTCACCCTTTTTTTTTAAATCATATACATTTGCAATGTAGTAAGTGGTGAGAAATTAGTTTCAATTCACCTAATTCTCATGCAATTTCTACAACAATTATAGATATCCTCCAGCGATAGCCCAAAATAGATATTTCTAAACAGATATAAAATCCCTAATATAGATAAACTTTTCAAAATTCAAGATGTGAGCGATAATACATATCCAACTCCACCATCCATGTCAATATCCATCCAATTTCACATTTCCAATATCAATTCTATTTATTTGTACAAAATAAATATTTGAGACATTTAGGGCAAAATAATGGCATATTAAGAAGAATTAGTGAAATACATCCATCATATGTACCATTACAGTATGCATTACTATTTCCATATGGTACAAATAGATGGAGGATCGGCATCCCTTTTAATACATCCTCAAGCAGATCTTAAAACAATGTGTCAATTAGACAATTTCATGCATTTAGACTCCAACATAGAGAATTTGAAGGTAAAACACTTTTAAGAGAAGGGCGTTTGTTTCAATAATTTGTCGTTGACTGTTATGCTGCTATTGAGTAAACTAGATTGAATTACATCAAGACCCATCAAGTTGAGTTGCGTGCAGATCTATATCAAGGAATAGAAGATGTTGTAGTTGCTGGAGATGTAGATGCGCCAGCAGTAGGGAGAAGATTTGTGTTGCCTTCGTCATTCTTTGAGGGGCCACGTAGCATGATCCAAAGTTATCAAGATGCTATGGCAATTTGTAGAACTATTGGAGCTAATGATTTGTTTGTCACGTTCATATCCATTCCTATATAGCCAGAAATAAAAGTTTATCTTCCAAGACTACCGAATCAATGTACAGAAGATAGACCTGGTATCGTTGCTAGAGTTTTTCGGATTAAGTTTAAAAAACTACTAACCAACTTGAAGGAAAATAAAATATTTGGAGAAGTACTTTCAGATATTATTATTCTAACACCTATGCATTTATGATATAACAAATACTCTTAAATGTCTAAAGTATTAATAATTATTTTTATGAACAGTTATTTACGTCATCGAGTTTCAAAAACAGGGATTGCCACATTCTTATATTGCAATCACATTGGCATCGGAGAATAAACCAATTATGCTTGGACAAATTGATGATTTTATATGTACTGAATTGCCTGACAAAAATATAAACCCATTGGCATATGAGACCTTTGTCAGATGCATGGACCTTATG